TGTAGCTTTGGAATACTTTGGCCATGCTACTCCAGCCGTGGAACTACTTCTGTGTCAGACCAACCCTTTTTGTAAAGCTCCTTTTTTAAAAAAGTACAATATGTGTATTGCTCTTTTGAACTGGGACTTGAAATGAAAAACTCCAAAATGGAGTCAATTTTAATGTTAAAGCCAGTGTTTTATATGAAAACATTTTGCTTTTGGAATGAAGCTCTTTTTTGTATGATTAAAAGAAAAAAAAAGATCAATGATTACCTTTGTGGATATTTATGGATATTGTGATTTAATTGCCTTCCAACTGTAAAAATGTGAAATATGACATAGTATATTTTTATAATATGTCAGCTGCAATGGCTGAAGGGAAAAAAAAGTAATTTGTTTTCTTGTGTGGTGCAGTATCAGTATTTCATGTATTTAGCAACCCTCTGGACTGACTTTTAATAAACAGTGTTACTCCTTTTTCAACATTGTCCTGAAATCTGTTCAACTGTGTGTGTTTTACAGCAACAGATTGAATAGGGAAAGATTATCTAATCATCTATTGTCAATTTAGAGAGCCGTTACTTTTGGACTATGATTGAAAGCTGGAGTACAAAGGGAGATGCATAAGGAGAATATGCCTCCCTTACAAAGCTAGACAGCTAGCTAACACCTGAGTTGAAAATAATCCAGTCCTTGATAGCTTTCTTGCTTTATTTTGCAACTTTTTTTCTGGATTGTTTTGTAAAACTGTAACAAAGCACAAAAGTATCAACCACAGTCAAAATACAGAAATCAACTACGGCAAACAAATGGCTCCCGATTATTACTAATTAGCTAAGTGAATTTGGTTGGGGAACATAGAATGTTTTCTTATAAAATATTACATAATACTGAAATCATAATTAATAAAATTACCTTACAGACAAACAGTGTCCAAGGGACAAACGTGTCTGAAGGACAGCCGATGACATCATGCGTAAGGCCGGACGAGTTCTGGTTAGACTGATCAAATTAAATACGTGAATAATGACCACTAGGTGTCAGTAATGCTCTATAGTTATAGCCAAAGTATTTGCTGCAGTTTGAAGAAGGATACATAGGTTAAATTAACTGAAGGCAGCTGTTGACTCTTGGCTGTTTGATCCAGCTGCTCCCTGAAAACGATAACTTCCTGTCAATGGAGAGGACTCTTCGCAAAGTGAAGAACGGGCAAACTGGAGGGATGCCATGAGGGCATTCAAGGACCCCATCTGCTCAGTTCTGCATGGCTGGCAGCTCAGCCCCACATCTACAAAACTATTCTAGGTTTTATAGCCTAGACTCTGTTTGCATGAAGAAGTAGAGAAATCCCAACAGAGGATAAATCCCACAGCACATTTATGTTCATATCTTTCTTAGCCTGTCTTTTGTTTTTTTGTTTTTTTTTGAGCGACTGTTGTGCGCACTTCCTTTTGGAAAGAGTTTCACACCATCCTTTGGAACAATGTTTGTTTCCAAATTGTGTAGAGCCAACAGGAAATCACAAATTTCCTGCTTAATGCGTGCTTCAAATGTTAATGGCTGGGTATGCAAGTAAAGTATTGAAGGGATTTCTTTATTTCACACTGAAAAAAAATATTTTGAAAGTTAATTTTTGTATCATTAAAATTTGTTTAGTGACATAGGCAAAATTAGATTACATCATGAAGTCTATCTTTTTTTTACTCCTGCATGAAGTTTTGATATTAAGTTTTTGTTTGTTACAAAATATCAAATAATTCATTGTTATGACTTTTGTTTTAACCTGAGTGATTCTAATGTTCTCTTAAAATGGCATTCTTTGTTTCTTTTTTGTGTTCAACTTACGGAGAATTTTCTAATTGATGTGCTGAACAGAAATCAACTTGTCTTTCTTGCAATTTCACTGCAATTTATTTGTGCCCACCAACAAGTAGTGCATTTTCTGGGCCAAAATTATGCTTTTGATTTATATTTCTATCTTTTTGGGCACATTTACTTTTATTTACTTTTCAGTTAATTTCATTCACTCGCTAGCCTTGACATTTGGATTCCTGTCTGTGAAGTTAATGTAGTTAATGTAGAAGTTAATGTCATGTTAATGGAGCCTTGACTTAGAAGACCAAGTGATGCCACTTTAGTTTGTTAATCATGTAATTTTGTTTCCCACATCATTGGCAGATGAACTTCAACTTGTTACGACTTGTTACGACCACATTAATGCTTTTCAAGGTCAGATTACTTTCTGATGTTCTGAACTGAACTAGCTTCTTTTAACCATCAACACATCAGTTTTCAATTTGGTTCAGCATTTCTTCTCATCAGTGACCTTACAGCTAAGCTTGCTTAAGAATGTATGTCACAAAAAATAAAAATAGAAATGGAACGCACATTTTTGTTTCTCTGAAATGGTAAAAGCTCAAAGAAACTCGCCACCGGGAATGACTAAAGTGCTGCAGCCGGATGTACAAAGAGGAGGTCACTGGCACAAAAGAGTGTAAGCTGGCATCTCGTGATGCCGGGATGTATTCTTTAAAAATATAAACACAGTCCTCTAATGAATGGCCTAATTGGCAGAATCCATTGACCGTATGCTCATCGTGTTTTCAGGCCAGCTCCACAGTCTACTATTAAAAAAACAGGGTAATAAAAAACAAAACTACCCAAGTCTTTTTTGCTACGTTGTCTAGTGGGATAAAACACAAGAGATCAGAAGCAATTTTAGAAAAAAAAAAAAAATCTACAAATTATTATTCACTGTTGGTCCAGATTTCTTTATTGTTGGACACACTGTTGTGTCTTAAAAGTCCATTTATTTTATGTTTGGTGAGAGTCAGGAAAAATTCCACCTTTATAAATCATAAAACTTTATCTTACCTCTTACCTCTTTTCTCTTACAAGAAGCTTAACAAACAAAAACCTGAGAACTGTGAATGTGAAATTTCTACAGCTCCTGAGTGGATGGAGAGAATCTACAAGCTCCCAAGCCTTGTAAATGCTTTTTAACTGGATTTGAGTGGGCCGTTTTAATACACGAATGTGCTTTGATTCAAACTGTTTCACTGCATCTCTGTTTGTTTTGTCCTTTTGGTGGGTGAACCTTTAACAGCGAGGTGAAAATGGTCCCAGACAAAGAGAGAGAAAAAATACAAAGATTGTCCAACAAAATGTTCAAAGACACAATAAAAATATTTCAAAATGCTTTTATTTTGCATAGTACTTAAAGTTAAATGCATTTCAGAACAGATGGGTCTTTATCTAGTTAACTGTTTATGTATTACCTTACTAAACCACCACACATTAATTGGTAATGTATTGAAACCTTAAGACTTTTTTTCCAGGATATGCCTGTAATATCTACAGTATTTCTTTCTTATTTATGTATGTTATTTCTTGTTTTTTGTTCTTATATTTTTGTACCTTTGTGTGAACCTACATGCTTTAATTTGTTGCTAGCACACCTGGATTTCCCAAGTGATGGGACAGTGAAGGATATTTTTATTTCTATGTAAACGTCTCCAGACCTTCCTCCGTCTCCGCTGGGTTCATTTGGTCTTCATGATGCCGTTTGTTCCTTCTGAGGTTTTCACTGGACACCTGAGAAGAAATTACCTACAGGTGGACTCTGTTTACTAATTAGATAAATGCAAATACAGGCATTTATTATATTTTTATTTGGAAAACAATTTGAAAACCCCTTTCATAGTTACTCTTTACCTTATTGTACTGAAAATCCCAACAGATCATTTAGATTTATAGATGTAAAGTGACAAAATGTGAAAGAATCAAAGGGTGCAATCACTTTTGTAAGGAACTGTATAAAATGTTAATCAAAAGTAAGAAAATGTGATTATTTAGAAAAAAATACTTTAATATATGAATCTATCCCACAACATTCCTTATGACCTGTACCCTGGAGAACTCTATAAATACTTCACTTGCATAAAAAAAGCTACATCTTGTATTAAATCTTAGTGCCCTTGGACACTTAAAGGTTTCAGAACAACGATGAATATGAAAAAAACATTCCTTCCATTTTCCTAGCAGAAATATTCAGATTCATAATAAATATTTTGTTCACTTCATATTTCCTCTTTCAGAATGCTTTTCACATTAGTCTACAACCGACTCTCAGTGAGCCAGGCATCTATAACGTCAAGGTTATTATTTTCATAAGAGAAGTCAATGCTATGATATAAACTGTTAACAGCAGTGGTTGCAGTACTAATATCATTCAAGAATTACTTCAGGATTAAATGTAACAAGTGTAAACACTCTGAACAACAACATTCACACAGTGCAAAATTCATGTGTTCATATTATATGCAGTCTATATGCAGTCAGATTTCCAATGATTTTTAATCAATTTGCCTCTTATTTTTACTGTGTAAAATAAGGATGACTTTATATAAAAATACTTTTTATACACTATGTATAAAAAGTATATTTTACATCAATCAGTAACCACATTTTAAAACAGTTTGAATCAAACATCAAGTGTAAAAAACTGCAAACTACAGATCCCACCATGCAAGTAATTATAAAAGAATAACAACCCCCTCCAAAAAAGACAAGTGAAAATCCTCAAAACCTCTAAAAAAATACAGACTGAGGAATGCCCTGCAAATTAGAATGTAGTCTTTTTTTTTTTTTCAAACAAATACTTCAAATTTGCTTTGTCAATTATGGTTGATTGTTGACATTGTCAATACTAGCCCTCTACACGTGACGTCACTATCTTCGAAACTCCGCCCACTCTGCCATCATAAACCTGTGATTTTATCGTGTAACTTTTAAGGAAGAAAGATACGGTCATAAGGATGACTTATGACCTTGTAAGTCATAAGGAATACTTTATTATGACTGTCAGTCATAATACTGTCAGTCATATTGACTGACAGTATTATGTCAGTCAGTGACATAATACTGACTGACGCCATTATACCTCGGTGTAATGGCGGATTTGTAAAAAGCATTCGCTTTGTAAAAGTATGATTACTTAAGTAATCATACTTACTTTACAAGTAAGTATGATTAGAAAGATATCAAATATCGCATTATGGGGAAGGTACACGTCTAACCTTTAGTAACCATGGAAACAATGCCGCACCATCATGTAGCCTAGCATGTATGCAACAAACTGGTTAGCATCTCGTCTTTTGTATGTTTTTAATCCTGCCTCGGTTTAGGGGAAGCGCCATTTATGACATAGTGACATAAATCATGTGGTGTGAATTTAGGTAAAGTCGGTAATTTGATCAACACCTCAGGAGGGAGAAGGTATGGACTGGTTTCTAAGCTAGCTGTTTCAAACTTTTATAAATACCCCCGTCTATGAGCTCCAGTGTTGTGTTCACAGACAAATTAGCTCGACTCGAACAAGTAGAAGCCATGAATAAACTGGCAAAAATAACTTTGGAAAACAATTTCAGTTGCTTTGTAAAATACTCCCGTCCCTCACTTCCGACGTTTGTCATGGCGCCTAGAATGATTAAGTGGTTGCAAAGGGTCAATAGGCACTTGCCCAGTGCAGCATCAAAAGGGAGAGAGGCATTCCAACAGACAGTTTGCACAACCTACTGACAACTTGTTGTTTCTGGACTGCTGTGCATTTATCCCAGAACAGAATATAAATAATTTCCTCCATTTTGTTTTGTGTTGGGTGGCAGGAGGAGGGGCTTGCGCAGGCCTCTGCTTAATACAGAACCACACCTGCACATGCAAACACACGCATACCTACACACGCAGCACTATGCTTTCTTTCCTGTATGTTGGACTACTCTCCTTTGGATTCACAGTCACCAAGGTGGAGCCTAAGTATACCCTCACTATGTAGCTGCAACAGGAGCTTAAACTCCTCCGGCATGGCATGGAATCCACTCTTTCCTCTCACGTCATCGTAATAATGGTGGGTCAGCTCCTTGAAGGTCTGCGGGTGAAGACCAAACGGCCAGAAGCCGTACAGGTCGACGGTGTCACACAGTTCCAGCGCCAGGCTTGTCAGGATCATGCCAGAGCTGAGACGCACAGCCTCCCATCCTTGAGAGCGCCAGAACGTGTCAAGATCCTTTAAGTACTCTGGATTGAAGTAGATTGGTTGCATGGGGCTCCCAAAGTCTTGAATAGTGTGGAAAGCCCGCATGCAGAGAACTATGTTTTTGACATAGGAAAATGCAGGAAGTAGAATCATGGAGCTTCTATATTGGCACAGTTTCTCCATAAACTTCCGTCGACTTCCTAAAAGAGAGTCATACCTGCAAATACAAAATTGATAATAAAAAACAAGCTAGATGATATTACTTAAGCTGAGAAAAATGTATACATTATCTCACTTTTGTAAAAGTATGCTCGGGTTTGCTGACACGAGGTCCGTCTTGACCCCAACATGTTTCTCGTATCCATTTTTTAAAGGCGCAAGGTTGCACCTAAAAAACAGTAGCAGACATTATTTTTCGTTAAACAGGATTCTTAAATAATTTTAACTTCTGATACTTAGACAGCCTACTGACCTGATGACAAACTCGGCTGAATCAATACTTTTTCCACAGCTGCTGTTTGCCAGGATCCCAGCATTCCCAACAACAGCACAAGAGCCGTAGGTTTTATTTGCAAAAGGAGACTCCTGAAATTACCAACAAAACTATTAAAATAAATATGATAAACAAAAGATTTTTCATAGTTTTAACAATTAAAAACATGCAAATAACTTATATTCAGATATATTTATAGGAATCAGTGATATATCTTGTTCCTTTGACTAATCCGCAAAAGTAACTATCAGATTTTAGGAAAACATCAATGGGCGACACATTAATCTGAGTTGTTTTTATGCTCTGGTAAACAGTTTACAGTTTAAGGCAGATGTACATATTTAGATATAATTGTCTTTTTTAAATGATCCCATTCAAATTTATATCCCCATCACGTAAATTCCTGTTTAAATCATTGAATTTTTGTTTTATGAGTCATAAAGAATAGCTTTAATATTTTATATATTTTTGCCTGCCGTAGGAAGACCTCTCTGCACCAAGATCATCTTCACTGATCAACAGCCAATCAATAACCAAAAGCTGTTTGGAACTGGCAGAAAAGATTTGGCCTTTTTTTTTTCATGGTGGTAACACGCATAAGTTCTGCTGCAAATCACACAGATGTGTTTTCCTTAAAATAATTTAAGAATAATTGCCAAAAAGGAAAAGAACAAAATATATTTATGGGTTAAGTGCATTTGAAAGTGAAGCATCATGTTAGCAAGTCCTATGTCTAAAATAAATAACTAATAAATTGGTAACAAACAATAATGAAACAGGAAACATGTAAAACATAAAACAACTTACCTTCAAAAATGTGTCAAAATGCTCCGATTTCACCTCAAAAACCCTCTTTTTATCTCCATCTGTAGCAAGCACTGATCCCACCAGAGTGTTCTTCTGAGTAATGATGGCCTTTTCATAACCTCTGACCTTTAAGTTCAGCTGAGCTCTGAAAAAAAACACAAGGGCTTTTATTTATTCAGCAGTTAGCAGAAGAAGAGTACTTCAAGGTGTGACAGTACAATAGCATTGAAAGCATGCTCTCTCTATTAAATGAAGAAGTTAAGTCTTTTTAATTATTGGCATGAAACGACATATCAGTAATCCCTCAATAAAGACTTAATTTCAAAAAGTCAGTCAGTGTGATAAAAAAAGATAACTCCATTCAATTCAAGAGTCAATATATGAAGTAGAGCAGGATAAACAATTGACAGCAAGGCAGGCAAGAAAGGCAAGTGTATTTATTTAGGATTATCACACACATAGCAATCCAAAGTGTTTTACCGTACAGAGGAAAGACAGAAAGCATAAGTATCACAGTGTTGGACAACTAAAACGACTGACACATAGTAAGACTTAATCTGAAACGAGACTAAATCTGCTAATCTAGAGGTGACCAAAACTCAACTAAATCTCAAACATGCTAGCCTAAAATACTGTGGCTGCTGCTAACTTAAAATACGCCATCAAATTAAAGCTGACTGATACCTGCGTGGGATGACAGGCCTGATAAAATCTTTTCTATGAACAGTTTGAAATGTTTCGGAATGCTGTTTAGCGTTCAAGCAGCAAGCTGATGGGAACGAGATTAAAATTGAGCTGATATTCATACCTTAATTCTACGTGTTTTTCCTCCTGTCTCTTCCACGGTTTGGAGTAAGGCTTTAGCATTTCATTTATGTTCTTCCTGGATTTGCAAAAGCAGAAGCACAAAAAGATCAGGAAACTGTGGCGTACATGGTTCTGTTTCGGCAAAAGCAAGGACTTCACTATGGCTGTGATTCTCAAAGGTTTCTTGAGGTTTGTCTTTTTTTATTTTTGTTTTCATTTTCGCAAGTTTTGCAACCCGAACCCGTTTCTGCTATACAGGAATAAGGGTTTCCAGTATAGCAGGAAAGTTCAAAAGTTCAAAAGACATTTTGAACTTCTTGCGCAAGATTTGATATTACCTGGCAGACTTTTTTTTTCTTTATTTTTACAAATATACGGACAACAGTAATACAAAGTATTTTCTTTTATCAATATTTCTTGAGTTTTCTTTTCAATGTTTTAAATATAGTTACTGACAAAGCACTTCTACTTTATGACTTTTTGTTTTGTTTGTTTTTTTAGCCACTGGAAAAACAAACTGTAATAGACAACACAGACAATCCGTGACTGACGAGGCATATCTGTCATTTGGATCTTTAGCGCATTTTTCTGCAGAAACGTAAATGCAGGAGGTAACACGCTCATATAACGCCCTCATGTTTTGCTTGTTTCCCATGACTGCGAGGACCTTTCCATCCACTGTATGAATCTGGAAAAATCCCTCCTGAAATAAAAGAAGCTGCTCATCATGGCATATTTTCAGCATGTTTCATTTCCTCCACACAATCAAAATGGCTCATTTCATTATATGACCACCTGGCTTTTGTTTTATCTCTTTCAGTCACAATTTTAGAGCTTTGTAAAATTTCCTGTTATCTTCTATGAAATATTGCCAAACTTCATTCCAAGCTATTTGTTCCCTGACGCTGAGAAACCAGTCCGTTTATCTATGTCTCCCGGGCTTGACTCTGTTATGGCTGCATTTTTTGTTTTTTTAATTAAATGTTGCAACCGCTTCTGCTTTTCAGAAATAAGCATTTCAGTGGAGACGCTACGAGTGTTTCCATGGAAAAGAGACACGAGGACACAAACGAAGACATTTCGGACTTCTTGCGCATGATTTGATATTACCTGGCAGATTTTTTTTTATTTCTACAAACATAATTTAATGCTAAAGACATTTTTGTGCGTTTCTGATATTTAGATTGCAGGGTTTCCCCCGGTGTATTATAGGCCTGGCGGCCCGCCATCCTTTACTAGCGCCACTGCCAGGCTAAGCCTTTTTTTGTTTATGCTTTGAGGAAAATAATAATAATTTTTTAAAAAAAGTTCTTTTTTTTCTTCTTTTTTAAGCCAGATTGCAAACGTCTCTGTTGCTCTGAGCGCTTCACTGGCGGGGCAGGTTTATACTTTATGCATTTAAAGTCGGACCAATCGCACTGCTGGTGCCTCTGCGCGATGCCTCGCGCGCTGCAGCAGCTGGATTAAGTTTACCTCAGCACGGATCCCGCGCGCCTCCTTTCACTCAAACTGGACACAGGCTGACCTGTATGGATATTTACATCAACCTCCTGTGAGGAATTATGATTCTTTCCAGAGTTTTTGATCAAGGTAGGACTTTAAACACCACTCTGATTAGGTCTATGTGAACTGCAGGAATAACTTGTAGTCGCGCTTTCGGAGGTGCGTTGAGCGAGTGGTGAGAATGATTTATATTTGTGAACAAAGAATTTTGTGCGGCTTTTCCATCTCAACATACGCTAGTTTGTATTAGTTAACGAACTAGCGCTAACCTGATCATGCAGGTTCAGCCTGGTGAGGAGCTTTTGCGCTCTCCTGTCTGTAACATCAGCATCGCGCTGATTTTATATTATATTATTTTTAGTATTATTTTTCCGGTTACAAAATGCATCAAACTGTATCAAATGCTTCCACTTAGTCAGACAGAGTGAATGTGCATGGACGCAGGGAGATCTGAGAAACTCGTCCCATAAACTCGACCAACCAGAGTAGTTTCTGTGATGCTTATTAAAAACTCAACAGACACGAAATGAAAGAGCTACTAAAGCCACATTAGCAACATTGAATTAAATCTCCCGTTTGTTGAGCATCTCTGCACAGTGCAGCAGATTAACTCATCATGCACAACCGGTCCAAGGCTGTATGAGGCCTGGAGCAGAGTCTGATTTACGGGCCCCTTTTGTTGCTAAAAACATCAGCACTTCGAACAGATCTGAGAGAGGGGGGTAGTTTAATTAGCCAACCTATGAAGCAATCAATTATAATTGCAGTTAACTAAATTGTATTTGTGAACAAACAGAGCTCAAACTTAAAGATTAAAATAAATTAAGCATCAGATTGTAGCTAGGGTAACAAAGCAGTCTAACTATGAATATTGTTCTTTTTTAAAAACTAAATTAAGCATTTTCCTGAGCTTTGTTGAGGCAGGAGGGACCGTAAATGTTTTTTCCTCTAAGTGGGCGATTGCACCTAAAAAAAATTGAGAATCACTGATCTAAAGGAAAAACTGTGACATTTTCTTCTCACCTGCAGTCTTCATACTGTTTACGTAGCTTGGCAGCTTGCTTCTTAGCTATTTTCCCAGATTTGCCTTTGCTGGGAAAAAATAAAGTGTCAAAATCTGTAAACTTGCTTCATCGCTGCTGGTCTCTGATTTACATGTACAGTCATGCACTTATAACATGTACCTCCAAAAATGAATCCTCTTTAAAGCTGCAGTACTTATGTCTTTGCATATATATATTTTTTTAAATATTGTGACACTGTTCTCACCTGCAGCCTTTACATGGCTTAGCTTCTTGTTTCTTGTCATCCGTTTTTTCAGGTTCTTCTTTGATGGGCTCACTGGAGAAAAAATGTGTCAAGATCTGTAAACTTGCATGAAAAAAAAAATCTCCTTTTATCTACATTTGGATTCAGGAATCCAGACGTAACAAATAGTTTTTTTTTATTCAGCATCCAGGTTTTAAATTTTCTCTATGTTTTGCATAGACTCAAAGAAATAAAAATGGCAGTATCATCTGCAAACAGCACAGTATCAGTATCAGTATCAAAAGGCCTCAGCTAAAACAATGTTATGTGATTGTTTTTAGATTGTAGCTAAAATTTAGCAAGAGCAGTTTGACACGCAGGTCAAGGGCCATGAGGTGAAAAAGCCGAATTACGTAGGTGCAGTACATTGTTGGACTTCTACAACAGACAGGTGCCAGGGACGACACAGCTGAAACATGTCTGACAGCCCTTTAGATTTGAAAAGTCATTGCTCTTGGATCCTATCCAGCCGTTACTGCTGGTTTCTCGAGGTAATCCTCTGCATTATCCCTTTGGCATCTTTAGATGCAGTGCAATGCATTGCCAAGAGTTTAAGGATTCAAAGCGTGTGTAGAAGTTATTCAGAAAATGGAGGGCAGAATGCCTTTCCGTGAGACTCGGTAGGGAGGATTAGAGTTGAAATGCTTTCGTTTCTTCGGCAAATGACCGTTTTTTTCCGTGCACCATGCTATAAGCCGCAGGTACAAATTTCTTGAGAAAAAAAAAAAAAAACTGGAGACGTACATATATAAGCCGCACCAGGCTATAAGCTGCTGGTATCTACGCCGCTCTCGGTTTTCCATAAGAACCCAGCTGAGGGCTGCGTCCTAATAAACCTGCTGGATTTATTAAGGATGCAGCCCTCCGTCTCCAAAACCGAACCCTGGGTTCGTTCTCGCCGAGCTTATGTGCAGCGGCTCTATTTCCTGTTCTGCCAGATCGATAGCCCTCAAATTAAAAGCTGCATCATATGAGTTTGAAGAAATTTCTCCGTCGTGCCTGCTGCTAGCATGTGGTTGTTTTAAATGAAAATTAGCACTTTCTTCTTCTTCTTCTTGATTTTACTGGCGGTTTGCAACAAAATGTTAGTAGCATTACCGCCACTTACTGGTATGGAGTGTGATTTGATCTATCTATCTATCTATCTATCTATCTATCTATCTATCTATCTATCTATCCTACCTAAATAAATAAATAAATAACAATAAATAAATAAATAAATAAATAAATAAATAAATAAATAAATAAATATATTCTACCTATGCATATAAAAAAATGTACACACATATATACAAATATACATACTTATACATAACTTTGTATTCTACCCATCTATATCATACACGCATTCACAAACACACCTACTATAATCAAATGTCATGAAATAATTTAGTTTTCTTTAAAAATTGAATAACTATTTGAATTAGCGCATTCTTCTTTGATTTCCAATTTTGACTTCCAATGATTCACTTCCTGTTAAAGAGCCCCCTGGTGGTTGAAGAAAAATCCACAGAAAAGCCGCACCGGGCTTTAAACCGCATGGTTCAAAGTGTAGGAAAAAAGTAGCGGCTTATAGTCCCAACGTTATTATCGCCTTTATGATGGATGCATCAAATGGTACAAAGTTTAATTTTTTTTAATTTACTGAATGTACTTCAGACATAAAAACTCCTCTGTTTAGATGACTACAGTGTGCAAAAACTCCATCACAGCACTTGGAGCAATTTTAGCACAGTAATGTTCAAACCAGGAGCCGTTTTGGACAAAATCTAAAAATAAACATCCAGTCTGTATTCCTCTTTGTGGGAATTCAATTAAAGATAAAAAAAAATAGTTGGACATAATCAGATGTGGCTAATATTCTTTAAATTGACTCTGTTATGTGTCAGTTTGCTGCATCAATCCACCAGATCAGTTGCAACTAAGCAATTTTCTCTTATTCAGCAATAATGGGCTTATATGACATTATTTTTGCTACAAGGTAAAGAGCAGGTGCAGAAGAATGCCAGAAAAATCTGAATTAATCCTTTGAGCATACGTTTTGATGCATAAATGGGGACAATCTCAGTTGGATTCAAAACCTCTACCTGACAACCTGCTGCAGTTTTTTTGTTTGTTTTATGATTTTTATCCACTGAAAATAAAACTGTAATTGATAAGACAGATGATCAGTGATTGATAACATAACTCAGAGCATGGCAACAAAAACAATACCGCTTCCATTATTTTTTACAGACTGAACAGATTAGTTAATTCAAACAACAGCAACAAATGTTTAATTTATTTCATGGTGATATAATTCATCAACTTTGTTTTAAATGAGTTCTTTTCAGTTACTATTTTATTGCTTTGTAAAATTTCCTGTTGGCTTTTCCGAAATATTGTCAAACTTCATTCCAAGCTAACCCATCCCTGACGTTGAGAAACTGCTCTGTGGGTTTATGAGGCATATTTTTCGCTTGGATCTTTACCACAGTTTAAACACGCTAACATAACACCCACATGGTTTGCAAGTTCACCATGACTGCAAGGACTGAATACAATAACTTATCTTTCCATCTGCCGTATGAATCTGTAAAAATTCCTCCTGAAATGAAAGAAGCTGCTCGTCACACAGATTTCCTCCACACAATCAAAATGGCTCATTTCACTATAGAAGCACTTGGCTTTTGCTTTATTTTTTCTGGTACAAGTAATAAATAAAATGCATCATTGTATTATTATATGGGGACTTTTTTTTTGCTGTCTGACAACAAAAAAGTGTGTCATTGCTATTTGCTTTGTGTCGATGAAACTGATATGCATCTTTTTTTGTTTTTAACAAACTTCTTCACTCTGGTTCTGTGTATTTAGCATTTAAATAATTACACATTTCAGTTAATTCAGTTAATCTGTGTTTCCTGATTTATAAAGTATTTATGAGTTTAAGTCACAGGTGAGCTTTTACAATGTAGAGTTGCCCAAGACAGCAAGACACGACAGACGAAACTTTCCACTGCAGGTGACCCTGGTGAGTTTTGAAAGTGCTTACTGCATTTGATAAGATCACATTTTGATTTAGGAAGTTTTAGTTTTGTAAGAAAGAACTGAGTTTATACCTCAGTTGTTCATCGTCGGGTTCTTCCGTTTGTGAGACTTGAGAGCAGAAATCTATGAACTGATTTGAACTCTCCCTGAAACACAAGAGCACATCCAGAAATGAGTGCTGCTGATGTAGATTGATCATCTATTAATTGAATTAACACAGAAATGACACGAAAAGCAGCGACTGCTCATTCTGACCTGGAGAGGCTATATGAATCGGTGCTTTGCAGTAGATTGCGGCGAGGTTTCTCCAATCTGTGGCGAGAGAAAAACAGGGTGTTGAGAAGAAAATATATTTTTAATAACAGTTTTGCTTTATTCAGTGTGAGTGGATTGCATAAACTTATATCACTAACACGTGCGTCACACATGAATCATCCTTTGGCGTTACCAGAACTATGAAACATTCAGTAATATTTCATCTGATGCACCATAAAGACGTCACATGCTGCATAGTATCTTTATAGATAACATCCAGCCTTTATGAGTGATTCCCATCCTCAAATCTGCTTTAAAAGTTGCAAACATCAACTTCTACTAGCATAAAACACTGAAGAATTATATGGAGTAGAAATTCTGCATATTCCTTAACAGTCATTCACTTTGTAAAGGGAATGATGCAATAAATTCTTCTTGTACTAGAACTCTAATTCTGAAGGTTGCATCCAAACAGGATAATTTATTATATGACAAAGTCCAAATGAAAAGTAGGGGGTTTTGCATCATTTACACCCAATAATCTTGCAAGCTAGAAGCAGGAAAAGACTCATGTTTGCACTGAACAGTGTGTGATTCTTGTGTCAGTCTTTAAGGGAAAAAAATAACATGAATTAATTTTTCAGTAATCATACCTGTTTAGCTCCTTTTCCCCCCCACAAACAAAACAAACTCAAACACCAGCAGAAAGATAGATTGTAAAATGACACTGTCATTGAATAACTATTTGAATTAGCGTGTTCTTCTTTGATTTCCAATTTTGACTTCCAATGATTCACTTCCTGTTAAAGAGCCCCCTGGTGGTTGAAGAAAAATCCACAGAAAAGTCGCACCGGGTTTTAAACCGCATGGTTCAAAGTGTAGGAAAAAAGTAGCGGCTTATAGTCCCAACGTTATTATCGCCTTTATGATGGATGCATCAAATGGTACAAAGTTTAATTTTTTTTAATTTACTGAATGTACTTCAGACATAAAAACTCCTCTGTTTAGATGACTACAGTGTGCAAAAACTCCATCACAGCACTTGGAGCAATTTTAGCACAGTAATGCTCAAACCAGGAGCCGTTTTGGACAAAATCTAAAAATAAACATCCAGTCTGTATTCCTCTTTGTGGGAATTCAATTAAAGATAAAAAAAATAGTTGGACATAATCAGATGTGGCTAATATTCTCTAAATCGACTCTGTTATGTGTCAGTTTGCTGCATCAATCCACCAGATCAGTTGCAACTAAGCAATTTTCTCTTATTCAGCAATAATGGGCTTATATGACATTATTTTTGCTACAAGGTAAAGAGCAGGTCTTTAAGGGAAAAAAATAATTATTTTGTAGCATTAGTTGACAGTTTAGCAAACTCTTGGAACTTCCATTTATCTTTGTAACTAAAAAGTTTTATTCAGTGTTGCTAAATAAATAGGTGAACATTTGTGGTCAGATGTTTGCATGTATTTGTGTTAATTGTATCTATTTATATTCAGTCTGCTTCTGGCTTTTTTTTTTTTGTTGCAGCATCAATGGTCCTATTTTTACTAATTTACTATTTATCTTTTTTTGCCCTGCAGTTTTAATCCTTCTTTAATACCGCTCTTCAATGACAGCCTGAAAGCTCTGTGCTCTTCAGAGTTTCTACTGCTGACAATCAAAAAGTTAACAACTTAGCATGAAATGCAGCCTAAGGCATCATGACAGGACAGTTTTTGTCCTTGCACAATGTTTTTTTTTTTTTTTTTTTTTACAAAACAAGCAGTAAGAGGAATTGACCTTCATATTTAACCTTTCTTTCATCTGTGAGACTTTTGCGGTAGGGTTTACAATTCCTGCCATTTGTCAAGTTTAAAGCACTCATGGATCACAAGATTTTGATTTTTTTAACCACACCAGTAAATATCTTTTTTTTTGTCCTTACAAAAAGAAAAAAAATGCAGTGGCAGTTTTTCAAAAAAAAAAAAAAAAAAAAAAACATCTCAAAAACAAAAAATCACAATCAGCACTGTCACTTCATACACAGTTGAAAGAAGTTGTGTTTCTGGTTAGTACTATCCCAGATTCATCTGTTTAATTTGTAGCAAGGCATCTAAAAAAACGTAGAAACTAGAAATAAGGAAATTTCAGGATGAAGCAGAAAAATGCAATTTCAGTTTGGAGAAATGTGCATCAAGTAATGATAATCTTCTAAGAGCCAGTGGGCTAAATTATAATACAAAAAACAATGAAAAAACGTAAACTTCAACTGATAAGCAGACACACCTAACACTTTAATGTTAAACGTAGAAGTACATCTATCTTTAATGTTGACATTTATTGAGACATTTTTGTCATTTATTTCCATACTTTTTTTATTTACTTGGTGAACATGAACAGGTTAAAAAGATACATATGAAAAAAACATAAATTATATTTTTTTCTTTTTCAACAATATCAGCTTTGACCACTACCTTATTTAAACCTCAGCAGCAGGAATGTGCCTCTGTACACACAGGGTTAATATGAAGACCTGAGACCCCGAACATGTCAGAATGTTTGTTTACATCCCATAGACAGAAGTTTAACTCACCCTTTCTCCATCGAATACCAGAAGGGAAGGACCAGGAGGCTAGCCAAAAAGAAGACGTTCAAAAATAGCAGCAGTTTCGACGCCTGTCCCCTCATACCTGTTTTTTTCTGTTAATCTCGTTTGCTTGTATTTTCTCTCACCTTCTATTTTACTCTTTCCTGGCTGTGAGTCATTAAGTACTCCCTGTCAAACTATCCCCTCCCTCATGCGATTACTTAAACAAATCTCTTTTTTTTCCAGTGCTGAACTTTGCCAATTGTGTAAATGCCTTGGGCAACTTTGAACTTTAATGCAAATAACTCTGGCACTCTTGGAAATTTTTTCCTTTGTTTCTGCTTCCCGCAAAGCAGTTTATCCTGAAATTTATTTGCACTCCTGCCAGATTTAGATTTAGAAATTTTTTATATTTCCTTTTATCCTTATTTTGGGATTTTTCTTTCAGACTCCGGACTTGGATCTGATGGAGAATTCTGCAAAGCGTTTTTTATATATCTTGAGGCATAAAAAAAAGGTGGTGGAAGAAAATTTGTAAAATAAAAAAGATATTCTAGATTTTTTTTTTCTAGGTTATCAGTTGTAATTTTCTCCAAATACAAAGTTGTTATTTGGAAAATACATCAGTAGTTTTGGTCTTTAGGGGTTACTTGATGTCACGATATTAATTTTTTTTTTTACCTACAAGAGTAAAAGGAGGCACTGGGTCGGTCAGCCTGCTTTTTTGTCTGTCTGCCATATTGGATTTAACAAAAATGTTCTTGCTCTTGCACTGGATGGCCAGTAGTTGATAGTGTGTTGTATGATGCAGTAGTGTCCACTTCAATGGTTTGTGTCAATTTACAACATGAAGCCTTAGCGTAAATTCAAACTGGAAGACTCTCTAGCCTCACCTGCATCATCCAATCGGTGCGACTCGTTCATCGCTGTCGATCTATCAACGCCGGACCAAGCCACGTCACGGCCAATCACCGACCAAGCTCCCGCTGATAAGGACCTCCATCCATGGCACCTCCACCCCTTCTCCACCTTCACTCTCCTGGCTCTTCAGGCACCCATCCTTCACCGACCTCCACCACCGGTGTACGGGCGCCGGGATATGACATTCCTAACCAGCATCGGGAATGCTCGTCCGAGCTTATTGCAATTTGCAGCTCCATATCCTCAGCCGGGGCCTGAGCGCCATAGAACTTTAATCCATGCATGTCAATAAACCTTTTTAATCGCTGTCAGATTTGTCTGACAATCTGTCTTTCTCTGGAAATAAAAATCAATCTAGATTTTTATTTACAGATTGAAATAAAAATCCACAAGAAACACAAAAAATGGCTCTTAGATCACTGTCCATTGCAGTGACTGCTATGCATGGTGCTCTGGTTATTGTTGGATTCATGACGCATCATCTAAAGCCATGAACAATGAGATCTATGTACTTAAGCATGTTATACAAATATGAAAAAGGCAAAGAATGTCTGGAAGGTCTACCAGGGGACCTTCCAGACATAGTGTGTCTTTTTAAAAAGAAAAAAAAACACATGTAGCACATCATCAGGTATCCTTCATGTCAGACGGTCACAACAACCTGTCAGCATTTACAGACATTTAGCGAGCCAAAGCTAACATTTACAGATCAGTTTCCCGTAAAGGTGCGGCACTGGTCCAACCAGAAAAACAGCAGATCTGAATCAAGGAATTTCACAAAATTATCTAACACTGTCATGGTAAGAAAAATGAGCAGCATCTTCAAGTTGCAGGGCTTCACTTGTCTTGAACATACATGATTTTAGAGCTAGTATTTAACTTTTTGTCCCTTTTTGTGTGCAGTTTTAATGATATTTTAGAAGCAGGTAATGACCTGACAATATATACATCAAAATATGTATTCCTCATTTCACATAATATGTAAAAATAAACAAAAAAGTAAGAAGTAACCTGTGGAATAAAGGGGGGGGGGGGGGGGACCCCCACCAGTTTACAAGAAATAGATTCAACTTCAAACCCAATTTCAGCAACTTTTAATTGTTTTTATCACTAAGCAGACCATTTAGAGTAAATAATATCACCAATTAAAGAGCTACTATTGACTGGGTGATGTGAGATCAAATTTATTTAAGATCTTTTTTTAATATAAAGCATTTTGTCATTTTATGTGTTGCCAATCCAAGCAATACTACATTCACACCAAAATGTCTGGAACATCGAGAAACAACTGTTTCAATTTGCAACAATTTAAGGTGTTGGACAAAATGGCCACTTAATAAGAATAACTTTCAACATTACATGTTACTGTTTGTACAGCTAGATTTGTGTTTACTGTTATTTTTTGCCATTTATTTAGCTGTTAAAAAGTATATTGAGTAACAGATAAACTGAGTGATTTTTTTTCTCTTTTTCACATTCAAAAGCTGGTGAAGAAGCTGAGGGTAAAGTTGGGATTTTATTTCAGGATTAGATGCTATATTTGCTGGATGCTGTTTATCATGAAGCTTTGTAGTTTATAACAGTTTTATAAGGTTCTACACATTAGTGTACATTATCCACTAAGGTAGTTAGTGCATAATATACGGTTTAATATATGGTCTTGGCATACTTTTATTTATAAAGCCATGCTAGGAGATTTTTCTTTCATTTTGTATTTCCTGGTCTACGTACAGAAAGCCAAAAGATATTCTCTTTGTTATTTTTTACTTTTACTTTCGGTGCACAAAGTCCTAACTGAACTTGTAAAGAGATCTTGTATGTTTTCCATCTTCTTGGAATCAGTTGCAGACATTTAAGTCAAGTATGTCTAAGTGTTTTTAAGGGTGTTATTACTTATTTTGAGAAGGAATTATCTGTCTGTAAATGTCTTAACGCAGGTTTTTTTCATCCAATTTATTTATGACGATATTAACTTTATGTTTCGCTGTGCTGGAATTCTCTTGCAAAAGAAATTTTTAATCTCTCAAATTCAAAAATGCTTTATTAATCCCAGAGTAAAATAAAATCATAGTAAAAATAATAATA